AGGTTGCAGTGTGGTTCCTGGGGCTGTGGTGGGTCGGAGTAGGTTGCAATGTGGTTCTTGGGGCTGTGGTGGGTCGGAGTAGGTTGCAATGTGGTTCCTGGGGCTGTGGTGGGTCGGAGTAGGTTGCAGTGTGGTTCCTGGGGCTGTGGTGGGTCGGAGTAGGTTGCAATGTGGTTCTTGGGGCTGTGGTGGGTCGGGGTAGGTTGCAATGTGGTTCCTGGGGCTGTGGTGGGTCGGAGTAGGTTGCAATGTGGTTCCTGAAGGCTCCTTAGGCAAATCTGTTTCCTGGCTCTGTGCCTCAGTTTCCCCATCTGTAAAATGGGGATAATAGTACTGACCTCCTTTGTAAAGGGCTCTGAGAGCTACCGATGAAAAGTTTTATAAAAGTGGCAGCTATAAATTAATTATTAGTGTAGATGAAAATCAGCCCCTTAGAGGAGCAAAGGGAGTTTATTGCAGAGTCTCACGCAGAATAATAATAATAATAATAATAATAATTAATACTCCTAGACAGCTCTTGGCCTGGGCCTCCGAGAGTAATTCCTCTGGCTCCAGGGGCATTACGCCAGGGATGGATTTGGCTCTGAGCTGCTCATTGGGCCAGGATCAGGTGTCTTTGTGCACAGTCCTCACCCAGAGAGGGCTGCCACAAGGGAATGTCCCTGAGGCCCCATCAGGAGGCCGGGACAATGTGACCAAAGCAAACCTGAGTTACGTACTGTGACGGCCACCCACAGCCCTAACAGTGTTTGCTTCCTCCTCTTCTGTCTGCAGGTATTTATCCTCTGGATTAGCCCCACCTCGGCTTCCATCCAGGATCAATACTGTGAGAATTTACCTCCAAGCAGTAACACCACTGGTAAGCACGCTACCCACCCTCCCCTGCACCAACCTCCCTGTCCCCTCTAGCTTTGTTCCTGGAGTTGCGGAATGGACATTAGCGACCTGGTTCTCCACCGGGGTAAGGGCTAGTCGGGCTGAAGGGCTCTGGGGTTCCATCACCCATACTGCAAACGTCAGGGAGTTTGTCTCCTGGGCGTTAAAACCTGACTCCCAGCTCTGACCTCGCCCCAATAGTTACAAGGACACCCCGAGACAGATTCTGTGCTGTGTCTCTAAGTGGTGCAGCATAGAACTCCCAGCCTGCCGTTCTTGGCGCTTGGAGACTGTAATCCACCTTTATGCCCTCCTAGGCCTGGGGTGCTCCATGGGCCGGAGAGGCCCTCAATGTACCTCAGCTAGCCCTGGGGGGGCTTTTAAGCTCCTTTATGCTACTCTGGTCCTTGTACACAGGGGACTGCATGGCAGCTGAGAACTGGCGGAGTGCAGACATGTTCCATCTTGCGCCCTCCTGCCCCCTGCACTAGAGGGGCTCCACAGCTTTGTGTCCGCTCAGCGCTCCCTACAATGGGGGGGGACATCTCTGCTGGCCAATTAGAGCCACATTACGTCACTCATATTTCGGGTGGTCGTCCTGCATTATTGATCATCAGCCTCATTGTCAGTAGAATGGCAGAAGGAAGAGGTGATCGGCGGGTGAGAGCTGTCTCAGAGCAGGAGACACAGGGTGTGTCCACACTGCACACTAAGTCTGGGCTGTGACTTGGGTTCGAGCCCAAGCCCCCACTTCCATCCACACACCTATCAGTCTGACTGGCACTAAGGACCCGGCTCCTAGGATCCTGCTTGGGGCGTGGGTCAGAGCCCAAGTCCTGCTGGGACTCGGGCCCAAGCAGTGTGGACGCAGGCGAAGCCACAGACCCGAGTCAGAAGGTCTGCGTAGTGCAGCGCGGATGCATGAGCATGGCTGTGAGACCCGGATCCTGCCATTGTAAACCCAGATTTACCGTGCAGCATGGACGTTCAAGCTTGAGCTTGGAAATGCCGAGTCCCACAGACCTGGGCTTGGGTTGCAGTGTAAATGTACCCGCAGAAACCCGGAGAGTCAGCCCCTGAGAGGACCCAGAGACAGAAGGCAGAGCTGGCGGGAGCTGAGTTTGAAGGGAGAGCAGTAACTGGGCAGGGAGCTTGGAAGAAAGCTGTTGGTGAGAACGGAGCAAAGCTCGGGACCCCCAGGGAGGAGAAGGCTCAGGCAGTGGCCCCTCGGAAAGGGGAGGCTCCAGCTGGGTCAGTGGAAGCCAAGCCCAGAAGCCAGGAGGTTCTTGTGGGACGGTGGATCCCGCTGAGCAGGGGTACAGGCATGGAGGAGCCGGACACTGCAGGAGGGGAGCTGCCTGGGGAAAATACTGGACAACGGGGCCCTGAATTAGGGCCAAAAGGAACTGGGAACAAAGTGCCACTATTGACCTTCAGGTGGATGATTTGGAGGTGATATCTCTAGAGAGGGGAATGGGAAAAAACCCTGCAGTATCTTTCTTTATTGTGGGAATTGGAGAATGGTTTTTATTACAAGGTTGGGGGTGGAGGGAGTTGCTGCACTGTGTGTGAATAAATTATACCCAGAGGCAGGCTTTGTGTTGGACACAGAGAGGTTATGGTCCTTTCTTGGGCAAACAAAAGGGGAAACTGAGGCAGGCCCACTGCTTGTGCCGTGGCCTGATGCTGGAGGGTGCCTCAGGTGGGGGCTCGCTCTATCGCAAGTTGGAAATGTACTTCTAAAAAAAATGAAAGCCGAGATTATCACATAATCCCATGACTCCAAGAGCTGGGGCTTTACAAAAAAACCCCACTAAATGTCATGAGAGTTGTGATACCACCGGGTGAGCTGTCAACACTGAGTTTGGGCCAGATCCTCAGCCAGCGTAAGTCAGCATAGCTTGGGTGAAGTCAGTGGAGCGACACTGATTTACACCAGGGAAGGGTCTCCTGGCTCTCCCGCTTCAGTCACTGAGAAATCCCTCCAGCGGACACAGCTAACCTTTGGTTAGGTGAGAGCCAGCTAACTGGGCCGGCTGTATAGCCAAATGATTCTCCACTCTATAGCCTGCAATCGATTTTGAAAGCAGAGCTGGGCAAATCACAATTTTTCCATTCACTAGCCATTAAAAAAAATCATTATTTGGTCGTCGGTCAGAAAATGAAATGTTCACAAGCGTTGGCAAATCAAAAAGATAAAACACAGGTCAAATGAAATGTTTCATTTTGATTCTGACCATTCTAAACTTGTTGGATTTTTTTTTTAATACAGTCAGAGAATCATAGAAGATTAGGGTTGGAAGAGACCTCACAAGGTCATCTAGTCCAAGCCCCTGCTCAAAGCAGGACCAACACCGACTAAATCATCCCAGCCAGGGCTTTGTCAAGCCTGACCTTAAAAACCTCTAAGGATGGAGATTCCACCACCTCCCCAGGTAACCCATTCCAGTGCTTCTCCACCCACCTAGTGAAATAGTGTTTCCTAATATCCAACCTAGACCTCCCCCACTGCAACTTGAGACCATTACTCCTTGTTCTGTCATCTGCCACCACTGAGAACAGCCGAGCTCCATCCTCTTTGGAACTTCCCTTCAGGTAGTTGAAAGCAGCTGTCAAATCCCCCCTCACTCTTCTCTTCTGCAGACTAAATAAGCCCAGTTCCCTCAGCCTCTCCTCGTAAGTCATGTGCCCCAGCCCCCTAATCATTTCTGTTGCCCTCTGCTGGACTCTCTCCAATTTGTCCACATCCCTTCTGTAGTGAGGGGCCCAACACTGGACACAATACTCCAGATGTGGCCTCAGCAGTGCCGAATAGAGGGGAATAATCACTTCCCTCAATCTGCTGGCAATGCTCCTACTAATATGCCATTAGCCTTCTTGGCAACAAGGACACACCGTTGACTCATATCCAGCTTCTCATCCGCTGTAATCCCCAGGTCCTTTTCTGCAGAACCTCTGCTTAGCCAGTCGGTCCCCAGTCTGTAGCAGTGCATGGGATTCTTCCGTCCTAAGTGCAGGACTCTGCACTTGTCCTTGTTGAATCTCATCAGATTTCTTTGGGCCCAATCCTCCAATTTGTCGAGGTCACTCTGGACCCTTTCCCTATCCTCCTGCCCCCCATATCTACCTCGCCCCCCAGCTTAGCGTTATCCACGAACTTGCTGAGGGTGCAATCCATCCCATCATGTAGCCAGCTTTCTATCCACCTTATAGTCCATTCATCCAATCCATACTTCCTTAACTTGCTAGCAAGAATACTGTGGGAGTCCGTATCAAAAGCTTTGCTAAAGTCAAGTTATATCACGTTCACCGCTTTCCCCATATCCACGTTGACTGTTCCTAATCACCTTCCTCTCCTCCAAGTGCTTCAAAATTGATTCTTTGAGGACCTGCTCCATGATTTGTCCAGGGACTGAGGTGAGACTGATTGGTCTGTAGTTCCCCAGACGCTCCTTCTTCCCCTTTTCAAAGATGGGCACTATATTTCTCTTTTTCCAATCATCTGGGACCTCCCCCGATTGCCACGGGTTTTCAAGGATAATGGCCAATGGTTCTGCAATCACATCAGCCAACTCCCTCAGCACCCTCGGATGCATTAGATCTGGCCCCATGGACTTGTGCATGTCCAGCTTTTCTATATAGTCCTTAACCTGTTCTTTCACCACTGAGGGCTGCTCGCCTCCTCCCCATACTGTGCGGCCCAGTGCAGCAGTCTAGGAGCTGACCTTGTCCGTGAAGACCAAGGCAAAAAAAGCATTGAGTACATTAGCTTTTTCCACATCGTCTGTCACTAGGTTGCCTCCCCATTCAGTAAGGGCCCCACACTTTCCCTGACCTTCTTCTTGTTGCTAATGTACCTGTAGAAACCTTCTTGTTGCCCTTCACATCCCTTGCTAGCTGCAACTCCAGTTGTGCTTTGGCCTTCCAAATGAAAGGACATTTCTAAACAAAGTCATTTCAGACTGAAAAATCATTTGGAAAAAGATGAAATGAGCTGTTTTGCCTTTTTCTAGGGTTTGTTTTTGGAGGGGGGCAGTTAAAGATTCTCTCGGGGTGTGGATTTTCCACACTCCTGAATGACATCTCTATGTGGATATAGCCTTTCATTGTAGA